TCTGTGCTAAGGAGACAAAGCCTGTGTACACAGGGCCAGCGCTTCTGTGCTAAGGAGACAAAGTCTGTGTACACAGAGCCAGTGCCTGTGCTAAGGAGACAAAGCCTGTGTACACAGAGCCAGTGCCTGTGCTAAGGAGACAAAGCCTGTGTGCAGAGCCAGCGGTTTATTCATCTTTTAAGCAGATTTCATTCATGAACCTTAGATGTGATCGACAAGCAAAGGATCTTGGGATTATTCTCATCTGGAGCTCTGACTAGAACTAGCTGTAACTCTGACAAGCAGTGTGCAGACTGTAAAAGCCTTCATTCTTGGAGACATTTATTCCTCACATGGCTTGAGGCTGGGAATCTTAGGATCAAAGTTCTGGTGTCTGGGGATCACTCATCCCTCATAGTCTGTGTTTCTGTGCCCTTACATAGGGGTGTTAACAAGCTCTCTAGCTCTTCAGGACCTGTTGTAGGAGAACTAATTCTACCCGGGAGAGCTCCACATTCATGCACCACCCGCCTAAGGAGAAAGATTTCTGTCGACCAATTTTGGAGGCAATTTACGTTCAGTCCACTGCAGGCTGAGCTCCCACGCTGATGTCCTCCTTACCCACTCCTAGCCACGGGCTTATACCATTCAGTCACAATAAAAAACACGTAAGAGCCAGCAAGATGGCTCAGCAGGTGAAAAGCACTTGCCACACAAGCCTAACAACCTGGGTTCAAGCCCCAGAACCCACCTGTGCAAAGGTGAAAGAAGAGAACCATCTCTAGAGCTGTCCTCTGACTCCATGTGCACACATACACACACACACTACACTCAAACAATAAACAAATAGAAAGAACAGTACACTCAGCACAACAGAAACGTCTGGACGAAAATGGTGAGGCCGGTCCACTGCCCTTACAGAGAATGCTGTCCTTACAGATTCGCTACCCTGGTGTGGTGACGATACAGCCTCAAGTCCAGAACTGAGGTCAGGGCAGGCAGTAAAAATCTACATGGTTTGGCTCATTTCTAAGGCTTAAAGGACCCTTCCCTCCACCTCACGCTTGTTTGAGGAGCACTACAATCGGATACAGAGATCTATTGATGCCCGATGTCTCTAGGGGAATGGTCTTAAGGCAGCAACTTTCTCAGAGGTTGTAGCATGCCTGTCAGGCTTCACTTCCTAGGGACTGATTCCTTAATGACAAGTCAGCACCACAAGGCAGCCCGAGTCTGTGCTCTCTATGGTCACAATCTACAGTGATCAATGATCTGCCGGGGGCTCAGCTTCTTCTCAGAAATGAGCCTACCACACCACTTTCAGGACCATAACACTCAGGCTGCTGGCAGGAAAGCCGACCAGTGGCCCAGCCCCAGGTCAGTTACAGAGTGCGATGTCTACACACCTGTTGAGGTCAATCTGCTTGTACAGATCCAGGCTCTTCCCGAAGTACTTCTTCTCGGAATTGAGGGCGTCCACCTGGGCAGCACAGGTGCCATGCTTGTCCCATTCGTGTTTCCTGTGAGGTGCACCATAAGAGGGGTCAGACCCATGCTCTAGAGCACAGCTGTCGCATGCTCTGAGCCTGTCACTGCCTTCACAAAACACGAGGGACAGATACCCTGGACCCAGGCCCAACAATGTGCAACAATCTCCAAAGAGACTGCTCAGTCTTCTCATGTTTCTATCTCAAACCCCTTCCAGGACACCTCCACAATCACAACACACTCCATCCAGGCGGTGGTCCCTTCCAGGACACCTCTACAATCACAACACGCTCCATCCAGGCGGTGGTGGTGAAGCCTTTAACCCCAGCACTCGGGAGGCAGAGGCAATTGAAGTACTTTCTAGAATATAGGCTATGAAAGACAAGTTCAAGGCGTGCGTGGGCTGCAAAGTGAGTTCACAGCTTGCCTGAGCAACGTAGTGGGCAGCTTTCTCAGAACTAGCAGCACTGGGAGTCTAGTTCAGCGGGAAAGCACCGGAGTGTGGGACAACCTGGACTCAATCTAGTGAGCTAGTCACCACCCAAGCTTTGACTGAACGTCCTGCTTATCTGAAAGTGATTCCCACCCACCCACTGCAGTCCACAAACCCTGAAACACTACGCCCTCAAGGAAAAGCCATGCTCAACGCTGTGATCCAGGAAGCCGGTACCGATTACACTCCACGGCTTTAAAGCATTTTACCAAACCAGAAATATTTCTAGGTTAAATTAAGAGGCCTGGAAAGATATTATTAGCTGTAATATGAATTATAAATTTTCACATTGGAAGATGTAGAAAAAAATTACCTTTAGTTGAATCAATTTTATCTTCTTTAAAAAACAAACAAACAAACAACAACAACAACAAAAAACAAAGCTTTTCAAACAACTGGGTTAATTTCAAGTTTAGCTCTTGCTGACCTGGAAGAAGACTGCCCCTGTGAAACTCACTGTCTCTGACCAGGTCACCATGAGGTCACTATCTTTAAAGCATGCTCTGTGTGTGTGTGTGTGTGTGTGTGTGTGTGTGAGAGAGAGAGAGAGAGAGAGAGAGAGAGAGAGAGAGAGAGAGAGACTTGGATTGCTTTTTAAATATGTAAGCATTTGATTGCTGGGTTTTTTTTAACTGAAGTAATGGGTGAAATAACAACAGACCAGAAAACAAGCTCATTACATAAATTCCACCTGACCTCATTTTTAACCCACTGGACAGAAGCCCTAAGGAATCATTTCTTGACGCCCTCTAGTGACAGGATCTGTCACCTGTTCTCTGTGCCTCCCACAGCTGACACCCTTAGAAATTCCTCACACCTGTGTTAAGATGCCTATGACAACAAGAACTCGGACTTACCAGAACCGGGTGCGGTTAGCCGACGGGTGGATTACATCGGGCCAGTAGATCTTCATGTCTTGCATTAGGTCCTGGATACAATTTAAACAAAACGTTTACCCAAGACCTAACAAATTCAAAACTTCTAAGCAAACTTAACAAACTAAAAAACAGAAAGCATTCAGGATCTAACAATTAAACTGAGCAAAATGAGTTTGTGCTTATTCTGCATAAAGCATGCTAAAGGAGCTGCAAGTGAGTACACACTAAGTCTTACAAGAGAAAGGTAAGGCCAGGGGACAGTGGTGCTCGCCTTTAATCCCAGCACTAGGGAGGCAGAGGTAGAAGGATGTCTGTGAGTTCAAGGTCAGCCTGGTCTACAGAGCAAGTTCCAGGACAGTCAGGGCTACACAGAGAAACTCTGTCTTGGAAAAAAAATCGAAAAACAAATAAAGAGAATGATAAACAGATGAAGAAATGAGCCTCTGAAGCCACAAAAACACTCAAGGAACCCTAAATGTACTGTGATAAGTGAGAGCAGCAAGCTGAAAAGAGCCATGGACATCAGGACTGATAAGAGGTGGGGACAAGTGACCACTGTCACCTCCCTGTGCCTCCTCCCTCCAGTGCTGTCTGCTGTCACTTTCTCCCTCCAGTGCTGTCTGCTGTCACCTCCTCCCTCCAGTGCTATCTGCTGTCACCTCCTCCCTCCAGTGCTGTCTGCTGCCACCTCCTCCCTCCAGTGCTGTCTGCTGTCACCTCCTCCCTCCAGTG